CTGTGTCTTGCCATGCCAACACAGTACATGCCCATATGCCTAGCTTCCTGTCATAGTGTGTTTTATCCTAAACTGAACGGTTTCAGATGAAGAGCTAGAGAAGCTGTTCTGTGTCACAGCAAACTACAGTGGTCCCTCCTTGTCTGTGGGGGATACAGTCCAAGACCCCAGTGAATGCCTGAACTGCCTATAGTGCTGAACCCTGTCTATACAATTTTTTCATATACATACGTATCTATGAAAAGTCTAATTTATAAATTAGGCAAAGTATGAGATTAACAACAATAACTAATAATAAAATAGAAAAATTACAACAATATACTGTAATAAAACTTATGTGAAAATGGCCTCTGACATTATCTTCCTGTACTGTACTCAATCTTCTTGTGATGATGTGAGGTGATACAGTGTCTGCAAAATGAGAGGATGGGAGGCGAATGTCCTGGGCATTGTGATGTAGTGTTAGGATGCTGTTGACCTTCTGACTGGACGTCAGAAGAGCATCTGCTTCAGGTTATCTTGGATCACGGAATCATGGTAACTTTGGTGGTTGGATGTCAGGAGCAGACCGAGCCGATGACTGTGGGTGGATAGCCTGTCCGGGGTGGATACACAGCACAAAGGGATGATTCATGTCCTAAGTGCAGTGGAGCAGTATGGCTCAAGATTTCATCATGCTCTTCAGACCAGCACACAATTTAAAACTCACAAATTGTTTATTTTGGGAATTTTCCAATTAATATTTTGGACCATGGTTGACCATGAGTAAATGAAACCACAGAAATAAAAACCGTGTATGTGATATTGTGAAACATATGTTTGCTTTTCAACCCTGTTTCCTGGCATACAACTTCTAAAATACTTAGAATCTCCAAAGTGATGCCTGTCTGTGTGCCGATGATTGACTGGTGCTGGCAGCCCCACGTAGCTTCAGGTTGGGAGCTGGTCACCAGAAAGACCAAGGCAGGATTACAGGGTTGGGACCTCAGCCCTACCCCCCAACCTCCTGGAGGAGGCCGGGGCTGAAGGAGAAACTGGTCACCTGTGGTTAGTGATTTAATCAAGCATGCCTATGTGAGTAAGGAAGCTTTCATAAACCCCCAAGAGGACTGGGTCTGTAGAGCCTGCAGATGTCTGAACACATGGAGGTTCCTGGAGGATGGTGGAGCCTGGGAGGGCATGGAAGATCCACAGCTTGCCCCCATACCTCCTACTGTGCATCTCTTCTTCTGTATCCTTTGTAATATACTTTGGAATAGGCTGGTAAATGTAAGTAAATGTTTCCCCAAGTTCTCTGAGCTGCTTTAGCAAATTAATTGAACCAAAAGAGAGGTCCATGGGAACCCCAACTGGAAGCCAGTCAGCCAGAAGCTCTGGAGGCCCAGACTTGCCACTGCTGTGGGCGGGGAGCCTTGGAGACTGAGCTCTCAACCTGTGGGGTCTGACGCTATCTCCAGGCAGAAGGTGTCAGCATTGAATTAGAGGCAATCCGCATGGTGTCTGCTGCGGAATTGATTGCTTGCTTATTGGTGGGTGAAAACACATTTGGACATGGAAGTCTTCTGTGTTGACAACTGTTGCTGTGGTGTGAAAGCAGAAGACAAACATGTTGAGTGTGTTCTTTCCCACACATATAGCATGTGGAGGGACTACTGTATACTCTGTTCTGACAGATCCCAGTCCATTAGTCCAGAAATCATGCTCTTGAAGTTTTCCACTGTCTACTTACGATACTGATTCTGCTAATGATGCCATTTTTGTCAGTATGTGGGGTTCAGTGAGGATGATTATTATTATTATTGTATACAGTAGTCCATTTGTGGGCATCAAATTTTGATATATCTTATTCTTCCTTGTGTTTGATAAATACAAAGGAGAGGAGTTCTTAATGGATTAATTGACTGACAATAGTATAATTAATTTTCTATTAATAGTATAGTCTTCATGTATGATCTTAAAGAAATGCACTGTACAAAGTATCAGAGTATTGTTTTTTGAAAATAAGGTCTAAAGCGTACATGAAACTGTGCATGCATTTTTTTTAAGAAAGTGGAGTCTTGCTGTGTTGCCCAGGTTGGTCTTGAACTCCTGAGCTTCTGAAGCACTCTTCCTGCCTCAGCCTCCCAGCAGCTGGGGTTATAGGGATATGCCACTATGTCTTCTTCTGTTTTTTTTTTTTTTTTCTAGTGTTGATTTAAAATGTATTTTATTTTTCCTTTAATAGAGCATGATGATAGGCATTTTAAAAACTCTTTCACGTAAGAGTTTACTGATTTTTAAAAATTATATGTTAACTAATGGAATACAGAAAAGGAAACTAATATTTGTTGAGTGTTCTACTCTGGAATAGACACCATATTATGTACATCATCTCATATAGTCATCACAACAGCTTTGTAAGGTATCTGAGCTATTATAACCTACTCCTTACTAAATAGTGATTAGGCAATATAAATATAATATTATGCAATATAAATAGTAAATAAGCAACTGTGATTCAGAGAGGTTGATTAATTGGCACATGATCCCATAGTTAACAAGTAGCTGACCCATGATTTGACCATCAGTCTGCATGGCTCCCAAATCCCTTCTCTTGCCCCTCAGCATAGATTGATAGAACCCTGTGCAGCACTGGGATGAAGGTAGAGGTCCAAATCAGGTCACTTCGGAAAGTCAAAATTCAGTTATATGTTAGCTCTCATTGAAAGTTTTCCTTAGAAGCCTGACTAGTCCAAGAATTTGTGCTAATATATTTGACAATGTCAGTAGTCACCAGTACCCTGCATTGTACCATCAAATGTTTTAGGCCAGATCTCACTTAGCTTTGGCCAGAGCACCATAGGTTTTACCTAAACGAGACCAGGCATAGACTAGAGGGGAATTATTTTACTCTAAGTGAAGGATATTTATGTATAGATCATTTTATGTTAATTATATTTAGCATCAATTTAGAGGCTATTTCTAATTTATTTCTCTACTTACTAACTTCCCAGTTTGAGTTTCCTTTTAGGCTAGTACTCCTATCTAATTCTGTGAAGTTGTTGTTGTTTTTCCTACAGTCTTTTTTCTTCTTCTATTATTTATCTAAAATCTTGTCTTGATTTTTTTTAACTTTCTTCTGTGCTTTTTGTTTCTGTGTTCCTATTTTTCTATTATTTTTTCCATTTCTATCAGGTAAGTATTTCCCATTTTTCTATGGATAGAGTCAAAAGTACATACAATTTCAGGATTTTAAAGCATCTTAGAGACTAATGAAAATACCCTCGAGGACTTCAACTTGTGTTTAACATCCTCATCAAGTGGTTGTTCAGATGGAAAACCTGAAACTCAAAGAGATTAAAAGTGGTGTATTTGGATATAGTACATGACAGAAATGATATTTGAACTCAGGTTCCTTAATTCAAAGCCCAGTTCTCTTCCTTCTTGCATCCTGTGAGTGTTTTAATAATAGAAATGGGTAGTGGGTCTAGTGAACCTAATGGAATAGGACAAGAATGGAATTTTCTGGTGAACCCAATGGCAGCAGATAAGAATTTAACAAGCAGGCAAAGGCCAAGTTTGAAGATAAACAACACTAGGTTGGATAGGAATAAGGGTTTTAGAAAAGAGATCAGAATATTGAGGTTTATGACAAGTTTGACAAAGATAAATGATAGGAATGAAGGACACAGGATATTGAGAGTTATCTAGAAAGTGATATTAAAATAGGGGCTCAAGGGAGTCCTGAACAGGCTGCTGCTTTGTTTGTTTAATTGGAAGAACTGACAAACATGAAGGCTTCTATTGAAAGATGTTTAAAGAATTTTAGCCACTGGGAAGAGTCTCTACAGGAGATAGGAATGCAGTATCATCTACTTCTATCCCAATGTACAGAGGGTAGCTTAGAGCCCCTCAAGTACTAGGGGGCTGGAGGTTGCTGAACTACACAGATCTGGGGCCCAGGGCAGGTGTCCTCTCCCCACTGCCTTTTTTCCCAATTCACTGATGCCCTTCCCCTGTACATGGAGTGTAGGGCTTGGGTAGGATTGGCTGGCAAATCAGTCATGGAGCTTCAGCTGGGTAGTTGCTTTCAGCAATCTGTGCTTTCATAGGCTGATGATTGAAAGGTTGGAGACTGTCATCAAGGTCTGCAAAAGGGGGATCTGAAAGTGGGAGCCCACAGAAAGGAAGATATTAGATATACTTAGGGCAATGGAGATGCAACTACCAGGACTCTGTTTTCCAGCAGTCTCTCCTTGGTTGTGTCAGTGCCTAGGAAGACTTTTAGGGGCTTCTTAGTTTATGTGGACCTGAATAGTAGCACCTATGTAGGGAAAATAATTGGATTTTATAATTTTTAATGTTTTAATCTTTCTAGGAAGAGTATTCCCAGTAACAACACATACATTTGTGCTTTGACTTTTGTACCTTTAACTTTGAAACATTTCAGGAACTTCCTGTACTGTTTTAGGGTAAAGGGAGGCAATGGAACCTTCTTAAGTGGTTTCTGTGCTGAAGAAACAGGACCACCATATTTGACTGACAGAGATTTGTCTTTGAACTGGAGATGGACAATGGAGGAGGGACGGTGTATCTTTTTACTTTTTATGAGGTTATTAATTGTTTCCAGTTCAAGTAATAAATGTTATGTCAGCTATAAATTATATTTTCAGTTCAGTCTTCAGGATAGACAATTAATTGGTGTAGACAAATTATTCTCTAGCTCTGCCAATATATTCACTGTCACTATTTGTTGTGGAACCTAGAGTGAGTCTTCCTTGAATTTTTCCTAGGTCAAGAGAGATGGAGGCAGAAATAAGTAACTAAAATACTTTTTTTTCAAAACAGAAGCCATACTTTTATTCTATCAAGAAACATTTAATATGCAGATAGCTGACCTTTCATTGATTTTGTTTTTGTTGTTTGGAGGGAGCACCTGGATATGAACCAGCACTTTTGTTTTTTTAAAGAAATGAACTCACTCATTTTTGTTGTATATATTTACTCTAAATTATTTTCAGCAAACTGGGAACTGATATTCCATGTATTAAATCACAGCACATGTTAAATGATGAAGATGTCATTGGTCCTGATCCTGAGGTAATGTGGTCTCCTGTGAAATTAATTTTCTCGTTCTGAATCTAGTTTTATGTAGTATTTACTTGTAAAATTTATCAGTGGTCAAGTGTAGGGGCTGACATATATTTTCCTAGTTTAAGAATTAAAGTTAGTGAGTAATGTACGTGTTCTGCCCAGAGTGCTTGAAAGTAATGTGTTCCAGACAGGCTCCCTGTGATAAACAAAGGTGTTGCCTAGAGGCATAACAAAGGACCTGAGCTGCAAGTAGCAAGAGCGGCCCCGCCCCACAGCAATGGGGATCTGGAGGCCACACGATTAACACATTGTTCCTGTGATTGCTGTGTACACCCAATAAGATGGCTGGTTAGTCAATGATGGGTAAGACCCCTCAAGGGAGGGGCGACCTAAGCCATGCACAGCCTCCAGGGGTCAGCCAAAGATCTTAGGGGATCACCCTAAGAAAAGCTGGGAATGAGAAATGCCCCCTGTGACTTGCCTTGCCCATCCTTGCTAATCTCAGTCCATGATCTATGCCTAGCACCTAGAGCAACCACCTTGAAATTCTGAGTCAGGGAATATCTGCTTTCCTAAAGCTATGCATTCTGGAATTTATGGCTATCGCTGCCATGCCTGGGTGATTACGTACAAGGAAATAACTTTAATCTGTTAGAGTATAAAAATAAAACAGACCCGGTGTATTGTTATTCTAGTCAACCATTTGTACGTGTGTCCGCGTTTTTCCTTATGCTCTGCGTTTGTGTTTTGTGTTCTGTGTCCATCCTCCATCATGTAAACGGGCCACGACAGTCAAGGATTGATAAGTACTTTGAGGGAGTAGGGGCTGAAAAAAAATGGGCTGGAAAATACTTAGTGACAGGAAAATTATACTAGCAAAAGCTTTCCTACAATAGAGAAAATACGAAATTTAGTCAAGGTTTTTTTAGAAAAGTATTTCTAGTTCTAGAAATAAAAGTATTTCTATTCCTTTTAAATCCTAATAACATGACTTTTATAATACTTATATCTGAATGAATCTGATGGATGCCATTGCTTATTACAGTAATCATGGAATCTTTCTGGTACCTTTTAGTTCAAAAAATGTATAGCACATAGCACAGAATTTCTTTTTTCCTCTTGGACACTTATTATTTTGGAATCATATAGTTTTTAGGAGAACCTTTTCTCCATTTTCTCCATTTCTATTCTTGGTTCTGTAATTAGACAAAGAAGAGCATATCTGGATTTTTAAAAATAATTTTCTTTAATTTTTTTTTTCAAAATCTGAGGATAGAAAGGAAGATTGTAAAGAAATTTACTCAGTCTTTGGAGTATCGTTTGGCACAAGAAAAGAAGAGAAATGATAAATTAGAAAAAGAGATAACTCAGTAAGGTTTTACTATTTCAGATCATTTCAACCATTCATGTGTTGATTTCACTAAAATTTTACTTTCCTTTATTAAAACTTAAATATGAATTCATTTTATATCTGTATTTCCATAATTAAATTATTTTATTTTAAAATTTATTTCAGAAACTCACAACACAATCTGAAACTTTTTGAAAATATCAAAATATTATACTTATTATTTAATGATTTTGTAAACCATACTAACAATGCCTTTGGCATATAATGTCAACTGTAGTCTTCATCATCTCCTTTGAATTTTTATTTCTGAAGGTATTTTTGCTGTCTTTGGCAACCTTCCCTTCTTTTAGTAGTGTCCTTCCCTTCCGAATTCTAACCCTTTGATACCTAAAACCTATCTGTGTCGTTCTTTAACAACATCAAAATCATTTTGATTTGTATTTTCTTTCTGCCTCTTTCTTTTTTCCATTGTAAAATATATCATGGAAATTTACTCATTTTCCATGGGTATCTTTCATGTATACCTGAGGGATACATGTTATTATGTTTGTTTAAAAAGTGTGTGTGTGTGTGTGTGTGTGTGTGTGTGTGTGTGTGTGTTTCTCATATATACAAAAATATATGTATGAGCTAAGAGGAGCAAAATGAGCAATTGTGTTTGTTCCACCCAGATCAGAAAATGGAATTTCCTAATATCTTTGAAGTCACCACCATGGCTGCTTTTTTCCTTATTTGCTACACACTGAAGTTTGAGTCTATTCAATATTTTTTCTCTCATTGCCTTTCTCTACATGGTTTCTGCATCCCTTTCCTTTTTTTTTAACGTTGTGCTAGCAAAGGTCTCTAGATCTCTTCTTAAAACAGTCTTTAAGTCTTTACACACTCTCTCTGCTCATTTCCTCTCTTCTAAAAGGCTGTGTTCCCTTTTTCCCTTAACTCAAACTTCAAAGATGTTTTATTTCCTATTTTTCTACTTCGAATGATCTCCTTGATGTTTTTTGTGTGTCCTTTCTCTTCTTAGCGACTATGGTCAACAGCTATCAAAATGTGTATTTTGTGTCTTTTCCAAACATTTGTATATAAGTAAGTCAGCTTTTCTTCTTCTCCTGGAACATTGATCTCTGGACTATAGCTAATATTTACTAATTGGTTCATGTTTTATAGTAACACACTATACTAAAATGGATATTAAGTATTTATTTGTAAAAACTTTGTGTGGTTACAATATTAAGTCTTTTTTTGCCACATAAGTCATGAAATTTTTCTACATAGTATTTACCTCAGATTATATTATCATTTTATTAGAATGTTTTCAAACACTGTTAGGTTGAAACAAATGAGAGAAGATCATAATTTATAGATGTGTTTCTTTTCTATGCTAGAACATGATATCTGTTTAAACAGCTATTAAATATTTACTCTTAAAAAACTTGACTTTCTCCTTCTATACATTCCTGTAGACTGAAGGCCCTCTTAAAAATGACAGAAAAAATAAATGGACATGGAAATGGAAATGTCTTTCATGAAGATGTAAAAATAAGTCAATTTGAGAAGGATATTGAGATCAAAAAGCTAAAATTCAAGGTAATTTTTAATCAATTTTGGGACTCAAAAAATCACTCTCTCCATGGTTTGACCAGTGAAATAAAGATTTTTCTTTTAATTTTATGGACTTGATACTAATAAGAAGTATAGCTTTTGAATATATTATGTTTCTATAAGAAAGGGCATACTGTTGATTCTCTTTTGTCTTGAACTCTGGCCAGTGATCTAAACCCAAGAGAACACCATCACATGATCCCAAATCACTAGTACCAAATCAGTTTTTTTCTTTAGTACAGTTTTATTGAGTTGTAACTAACAGACCATGCAATTCACTCATTTATTTTTTATTTATTTATTATTTCAGAATATTACAGGAGTACAAACATTTTAGTTACATGAATTGCTTTTGTACAGTTTGAGTTAAAGTTAAAAGTGTGCCCATCACCCAGATAGCATGCATTGTACTCCTTAGGTGTGAATTTACCCATCCCCTTCTCCTCCCTCCCACCAGCTTGGTTTGTATTGAGTTTTACTTCCATATGTGCCCATGACTGTTGAACAATTAGTTCCAGTTTAATAGGGGATACATGTGGTGTTTGTTTTCCCATTCTTGGGATACTTCATTTAGAAGAATGGTCTCCAATTCCATCCAGGTTGTTACAAAGGTATTAGTCCACCATTTTTTATGGCTGAGTAGTACTCTGTGCTATACATATACCACATTTTATTAATCCACTTGTGTTTTGAGGGGCACTTGGGTGGATTCACAATCTTTGTGATTGTGAGCAATTCATTCATATAAAGTTTACAATTCAGTAGCTTTTAGTATATTCACCAAGTTACGTGATCTTCACCACAATCAATTTTAAAACATTTTCATTACTCCAAAAAGAAACCCCACATCCTTTAGCTGTTGCCAGCAGTGTCCTTTTCTTTGCTCAGCCCTGGGGGACCCCGCCAAGCTACTTGGTTTCTGTAGATTTGCCTATTCTGGACATTTCATATTAATCTGATCACAACGTGTGTTTTTTTTGTCACTGGCTGCCTTCACTTAAGGTAATGTTTTCAAGGTTCATCTGTGTTGTAGCATATATTGGTACTTAATTTATTTTTATTCCTGAGTAATATTTCATTGTGTAGATAAACCAAACATTTTATTTATCCATTCATCAGCTGATAGGCCTTTGGGTTGTTTCCACTTTTTGGCTATTATCGATAATGCTGCTGTGAACCTTCACGTACACTTTTTGTGTTTGCATATGTTTTCCTTTCTTTTGGATGTATACTTGTGAGTGGAATTGCTGGGTCATATGGTCACTCTACATTTAATCTTTTGAGGAGCTGCCAGTCTCTTTTCCAAAGTGGCTGCACCATTTTCCATTCCTATCAGCATTGTTAGAGGACTCTAATTTCTCCACATCTTTGCCAACCCTTATTTTCCATCTTTTTGATTGACAAAGGATTCCACTCTAGTGATGTGAAGTGGTACTTGTGATGTGGATTTGCATTTCACTAATGACTGATGACTTTAAGCATCTTTGCATGAGCTTATTAGCCATTTATATATCTTTTTGGAGAAATGTCTATTCATACCCTTTGCCTATTTTTTGAATGGGTTGTCATTTTATTTCTGATTGCAAAGGTTCTTTGTGTACGGGAGGTATAAGTCCCTTATAAGATATATGTTTTTCAAATATTTTCTCCCACTCAGTGACTTGCCTTTGAACTTCCCTGACAGTGTCTTTTTCAAGCACAGCAGTTTTAAATTTTGATGAAGTCCAGTTAATGTATTTTTTCTTTGGTGTTATAGCTAAGAAACTACTGCCAAATGCAGTCACAAAGATTTATGCTTATGATTTATGCTTATGTTTTCTTCTAAGAACCATTTGCTGAAAAGACTATTCTTTTCCTATTTAATCATTTTGATACACTTATTGAAAATCAATTGACCATAAATATGCAGGTTTATTTTTGGATTTGCAATTTTAATACATTGATCTGTGTCTATCCTTATCCCAGTACCAAGTCAAATTTTATGAGAATTCTTTCCCACTTATGTTGCCTATTACCAGTTGTTTTATGTAATAATACAAAGCCAATGTAGTCAAATGTCTGTGCACTCATTTTTTCCTTCTTGAAAAGGAGGCTGTGCGCAGCTTACTTCTTGCTGACTGCATGACATGCTGGGAAGTCAGGCTTACAAAGATAGAATCATTCCATTTTTTCCTCCATTCAAACCCTTAGTCTCTACCCAGAGCTTCCCCCCTCAGTCCCATTCTTATCGAATCTTGATCACAGGATCTGATGACACAGCCTATTATCTACTACATTATGTTTTATTAACTCATTATAATTCATAGTATCAAACACACATTTTTACCATCCCCATCCAGGAAGGAAAAGATTAAGTCTGGGCTGTTAACTTTTCTCATTGGGAATCAAGGTAATCCATTATCTTTCGGTTCACAGTGAGATCTTCTGGTTTTTTTGTTTTTCTTTTTTTGGAGTCAGGATCTCACCTCACTCTGCTGTCTGGACTACAGTGCAGTGACATCATTGCCACAGTTCACTGCAACCTCACCTGGGCTCAAGCTATCCTCCTGCCCCAGTCTCCCGAGTAGCTGGGACTACAAGTGTATGTCACATTGCCCAGCTGATTTTTCTATTTTTTGTAGAAACGGAGTCCTGATATGTTGCTCATTCTGGTCTCCAACTCCTGGCCTGAAGTGATTCTACTGCCTTGACCTCCCAAAGTGCTAGGATTACAGGCATGAGCCACCACGCCCTGCCCAGATCCTCTTTTGACCTGGTGCTTTGTTCATATGTGTGACACTGGGACTGATCCTTTCTTGCACAGATTCTGCATTCTTAGAAACCACAGTTTCCTGTATTTACCTCCTTTTACTTAAACAAATAGAGACCCCCAGCTATCCTTGATAGCTCAGTTCATGATTCATGAAATAAATAGTTCAGTCCTTGCCAAGAAACATTTTCATGAGAGTAGCACTTAAAAATCAGGTAGTAGTCAGGCAATTTATTGAGACAAATAATAGACAAATTAGTAATTTCAATTCAAATTTTCAGAGCCAATTTGTATGATGTGGATTAGGATTGTGGTACAACATAAAGATGAGATGGTCTTCTCTATCAGACAAGCTTGAAGTGACATAAAGGGAAATTATGTCTCATTTCTTAACATTTGAAGCATGCTTCCTTCTTTTTAGTACTCAGAAGATTTAAAATTTTCCATAATGTTCTCTTTATTTACTTATCAAAGAAAGGAAAATGAAGATTGAGTTGTAAGTACTGGATTGTTTACCAGCTGTTTTCACAGCTGCTTATGTTTTTTAGAACTTCAGTCAATTGAAATCAGGTAAAATGTTTGCTTTTGGTTATTAGACCAAATATTTCTAGCAGTTTTTCAACTATTGTATTTCAAATCCCATGTCTCCTGGATTCCCAGTCTTCCTTATTCTCTAACTAGAGGGAAAATTCAGAAGAGGCATAGTTGCCTACTTATAAGAATTATGGAAGGGAATGGAATGTAATGGAAGGAAATTCTAGAAAAACTTCCTCCTCAATAGTTCTATTATCTCTCTTCTAGTTGTCTGCTGCTTCTCATTTGCTTTATTTGTCATTAATACGTTATTCTCAACATTTATTAGATCCTTTTGTAAAGAATACCAATTTCTCTCTACTTTGTAAGTTATTATGTTTCTTATTGTGTCTTTTTAAATTCATTTTTTCTGTTTATTTTTCCCTAAAAAATTACTCAAAATTTAGTAGCTTAAAATTAACGACTTTTATTATGTTCATGCGTCTGTGGTTTGTGGAAAGCTTGGCCAGGAAAGCTTGTCTCTGCTCCCCTCAGCTTCCCTGGGGACAGCGCAAAGGCTGGGGGCTGTTCACGCTTGTTCACTAGCATGTCTGGCCATTGGCTGGAGCTTTGGTTGGGGCAGGCAACCCAAACACCTACACCGGAACTGCTAGGCTCTCACTTTGGCCTGAGCTTCCTCACAAGAAGGGGGCCAGGTTCCAAAGGCAAGCAGTCTGAGATAGACTTTTCTAACCTGATGTTGGAAGTTGCATGCTCTCACTTTTAACACATTGGGTTCATTGGTCCCAAGTCACTAAGTTTGGCCCATATTCCATTTTTTATGAGATGAATCATTTTTTCCTTTTATAATAATTTTAGTTGAACATGTAATTATACATACTTATGGGATACACAGTGATATTTAGATATAGGTATATACAATTTGTAATGATCAAATTGGGCTAGTTATCATATCCATCATCTCAAACATTTATGATTTCTTTGTGTTGTGAACATTCAAAATCCTTTCTTCTAGCTTTTTGAAAATATACAATAAATTATAGTTAATTATGTTCACCCTACACTGCCACAGAATACCAGAATTCATTCCTCCTATAATTTTGTACCCATTTGCCAACTTCTACTCCCCTCTGCTCCCCTCTATCTTTCCCACCCTCTAATATCCACAGTTCTACTCTCTACTTTCATGACATGAATTTTTTTTTATTTTTAGCTCTCAGATATGAGTAAGAACATGTGGTATTTATCTTTCTGTGCCTGACCTATTTTGCTTAACCATATCCACCAGACTCATCCATGTTGTTGTAAATGACAGGGTTTCATTCTTTTTCATAACTGAATATGGTTCCACTGTGTGCATGTACCATATTTTCTTTATCCCATTTGTATGTTGATGAAAATTTAGGTTGATTGCATATCTTAGCTATTGTGAATAGTGCTGAAATACACATAGGTATGCAAGTGCTGTTTGATATAATGATTTCCTTTCTTTTGGATAAATACCCAATATGGGATTCATGGATCACCTGGCAGTTCTATTTTTAGTTTTTTTGAGAAAACTCCACATTGTTTTCCATAATGGCTGTACTAATTGACCCCAACAATAGATAAGAGTGCTCTTGTCTCTATATCCTTGTCACCATTGTTATTTATTGTCTTTTTCATAATAACTATTCATTTTAACTAGAGTGTGATGATATCT